TTCAGAAAACTAATTTAACCCACCATCTTCAGAAGAGTGAGGGAGGCTCGTACGTCTTCCGATCAGACCAAAACTTGGTCTCCTACACGGTGGCATATCGGACCATAATCAACGGTGGGATTGAAGAAATAACGGTCAAATTGTTATTTACCCATGCCTTCATGAAGCTATTTGGTGCAGTATAAAACAAAGACATGTCAAAGTCGTGCTGTTTTGCAAACGAGCTCGTCAATCTAACACGTCTCTGTCAGCTCATCACTGACCTCGTACCACGTCGCTCTGTTAACTCATCATACCCAGCTCAGCTCGTCAATCCACCTGTGGACTATTCTAACTCGTCATATCCAGCTCGTCATACTTCGCCAAACTTTATTAATGGCTCCCGGCTATATCAGAGATTCTGACCTCTCACTTCGCCATGACTTCTAGCTTCTCAGCTTTACCAGTTACATCCTGCTCCCAAAATCTCAAGCTGTGCTCGGCTAAAGACGATCTCCTTCAAATCAAGCTCACAAGCTCTAAAATAAAAGCAAAGCGAGAAACTTGTGACGGAAAAGCCCGTGCTATTTCTGTTGATCATCAAAGGCTCCACCGATCTCCACTTCTTCAATCCGAAGTAGCTTACGTATTTATGAGCTCGCCTTCAACAGCTCGTCTAAAATTTCCAGGTCGGTTGTTCTCCATTCTCGGTGACCATTACACGGAGCTAGATTACTAGTCAAATTTCAAGACAGCTTTCTCAAGCTTTAGCTCAGAAACAAACTCCTAAGTTTGCTTCATCTGAAGAAATAGCTTAAGCGATACACTTCATCCCATTAGCCGTAGCTTCCGCGAGCTCGCACCTTGACGTTTCTTATAAACTCGTCAGCTCAAGCATATTGTTCTTTCAAGACATACCGATCTGCGCGGTTTTACTATCACAAAAACAAAGAACGACACAAGCACACAAACTGCCCCTTAAGCTTTAAAAGAACTCCTACCAAGGACGAGCTCCTTTAGCAAGCTTACCTTTTCGCTCCTTCACATTCAATACACTGAGTCCGTTCTTCATGAGTTCTGAGCTCATCACTCTGTTATACTAAGGCAACTCATCAGCTCGTTTCTACACATCAGTGCATATATTAGATCGTTAGATCATTGGTTTATCAGCTCATTCATTCTGCGCAAGCTAGTCGTCTAATCAAATCTCATACGTTGCATGCAAGCTCGTCGTCTACTCAGATGTCGTACGTTGCATGGATTCTTCATGTCAATTATTGCATTCCGCAAAGATCACCTATTGCCGTCCTTCTTAAGTTGTACCTCCATCACTCATGCTTATCAGCATGTAGACTCGTTGATACCTCACGTTCTGATTGCACCATCAAATCTCGATGAGCTCGGCATTCATCTCGAGCTCATTCACGGGCTTTCATAGCACCACGAAAATAAGCCAAGCATCGTAAGCCTCGATCGGGTGAGCATTGTAAGCCTTGCACATTCAAAGCCGATCTCACAATCTCACATTCAAAGCTGAGTTTCAGGTCTCGCATCTATCAAAGAAAAAAAAAATAAAAAAATAAAGAGTTCCCGAGCTCAACAAAAGCCGACCTCACAATTGGTGGCAAATAGCGCCGACCACACAATTGGTCACAAATAGCGCCGACCTCACGTCTTACTCAATAACCCGAGCTCATCTCATCTCGACCTCATCGTACTCTCCCGAGCTCAACAGCTCGCCATCATACATCTCCCAAGCTTTTCACTTTGTAAAACTCCTCGAGCTCATCAGCTCGTCAGCTCGTCATATTTCACCTAGCTATTTTAGCTCGTCATGCTGTTGTAAACTCACCACCTCGTCATAATTCACCGACCTCATCTCGTCAAGTTGTTACTTTAAGCTCGTCATCTCATAGCTAAACGTACTCCTCGAGATCGACTTTCACACGCCGAGCATAGTCTCACACCCAAGTATATACCAAGCCGAGTTCTTTAGCTCGTCCACTTCACTACATTGCTTTGACACCAAACCAGTCAATACACTTAGCTCATACTAATAATCCCGAAGTGATTAAATCTCCCGATGTGATTGATAACCAAGTGTTCTACTACTTAGCCACCCAACGAAGTCTATAGCGATATCATCTCCGTTACATTTCCGACAACGATCTCATCAAACCCATTGACACGTCAGCCTGACTTAAATCAGCTCGAACACGTTGCTATGACAGTTCACCTTCTTCACTCTCATCTTGCATGAGACTGAAACACCGTTCTATTTCAAGTGACATATTAGCAAGCTTCCGAGCTCCCGAGATACGTTACCAATTACTACTCGTCTTCTCCACCTACCATACAACTCGTCTTCTTTTCCGAGCTGCGAAACAAAGAAGAAACGACCGAAGCAAAGCAACAAAGACCCAAAGCCAGACATCATCAGCGTCTTCATCGGACAACTCCATTGTCTTACACGAAGCTCTCAAATCTTCAAGATCGGGTACGTTATTACATCTTGAAAAGATTTTTACATGTTCATCTTCCTTACGTCAAGCTCCCGAGCTACTTAAGTTATTACATCTTAAAAGATTTTTACCTACTCTCTCTTCTTCAATTTGTTCCCGAGCTAAATTGCTCCTGAACTACTTATTCATCTCCTTACTATGCTCCTGAGCTGATTACACATCGGCATCCTGGCCAGATGCTCGATTCGCCTAAAGCTAAAGCCTGATCCACTTTAGCTCGGCAATTTCCAAGCCAAGACTTCTCTTGCGCATAAAGCAGTTAACCTGCATATAAGCCGACCTGTTTTGCAAAGTCCGAATCATACGATGGTTATAAGCCAAGCCAGTCTTGCTCCCGTATTTGAGTCGGATATTTCTAAGTGGTACTAATAGATAAACGCCGATCTGATTCGCATATTAGTATTCACACTTAGAAATTAAGTGGTACAAAAAAATGTAAGCCGAGCCTCTCGCACGTTTGTATTCACACTTTTTTAAAAGCCAGTACCCGCTCTGCATTTTTTAAGTCATGCAAAACTATTAAGCCTACCTGATCGCACTTTGCATTCGGCTTTGGAAAATTTCTAAGTCATGTAAACAAACAAAGCCGGCTTCAACTCGCTGGTTTACATTCAGACTTAGAAATATTAAGTCATACGAACAATTTAAAGCCGATATCGCATCGCACGTTCGTATTCGACTCTACAAAAGCCGAGCACACCTCGCAATCATATCATAGAATGAGCCGAGCATAGTCTCATACCCAAGTATATACCAAGCCGAGTTCTTTAGCTCGTTATACTCCACTTCAGCTTGGTAAACTTTTCTATATGCGCCAATCTCGAAAACTAGACGCCATCAAATGGTCGACCTGAAAAAGCTTAGAGAAATGATGCTTCATTTTTTCTCTCTTGGAATGGCCGACCTGAAAAAGCTTAGAGAAATGATGCATCATTTTTTCTAACTTTTAGAATGGTCCGATCTGAATTCATATCGTCGAGCAACACCTTGAAATTCACCAAGTAACGTATCTTCACTTGCCGAACTGGGGGGGGGGGGGGGGGGGGGGGGGGGGGGGGGGGACTTACTGTTATAGATGAGATTCGTACTATTTCTTCAAGCCCGATATGAATTCTGGTCGGCCCACTTCACAAGGCTCAGGTCGACTAAATAAATGGAAATCTTCCATTTATCGGACGAACCCGGGAAAAACGGAATTTTAGTCTTATCGGCAAGGAAACTTTCCTATTCCAAACCGACATAGAAGACCGACCTGATCGGCTATAAATATGGGATCTCCTCGACTTCTCAAATCATCAAAAATACTCTTTCGAGACCTAGGGCAAACTAAGCAATCTTATTGTTCTTAGCTATCGATTTACTTTCCTTAAAAGTCTAGGTCGGCGTTCTTATTCTGACGATCTAAACTACCTTGTATCTCTCAAGCTCCGGCTCAATTTTAATAAAGATCTCTTTTTAAAAGTCTAGATCGGCGTTCTTATTCTGACGATATGAATTCTGGTCGGCCCACTTCACAGGGTTCAGGTCGACTAAATAAATAGAAATCTTCCATTTATCGGACGAACCCGGGAAAAACGGAATTTTAGTCTTATCGGCAAGGAAACTTTCCTATTCCAAACCGATATAGAAGACCGACCTGATCGGCTATAAATATGGGATCTCCTCGACTTCTCAAATCATCAAAAATATTCTTTCGAGACCTAGGGCAAACTAAGCAATCTTATTGTTCTTAGCTATCGATTTATTTTCCTTAAAAGTCTAGATCGGCGTTCTTATTCTGACGATCTAAACTATCTTGTATCTCTCAAGTTCCAGCTCAATTTTAATAAAGATCTCTTTTTAAACTCATAAAACCCTAGTTCTCTTATAAGTCGAATTTAAGTTTTTACAACTATATTTGTTTTAATGATTCTATTTATTTATTTTATATGTATTTTAAAAAAAATTAATGTTAGTTGTTTTATTTATGTTTTCTTGCTAATGTGATAAAAGAAAAGAGTAGTTTTAAAAATTTAAAGTGGATGGTTTTAGGAGTTCTAAACTTCTTCTTTCGTTTAATATAAAATAAATTTCGCTATAATAATTTGTACAACAGACTAAATTTTAATATTTACTAAAATCATATTAAAATATTTAACTAATATAAATATTATGTTTTTGTATATTTTTTAACGTACCGAAATTTGGTTTTCGGTTAAGAAAAAAGAATATTTAGTTTTAATACGAGTTTGTGAATATAGTAGATAAACGATTTGTTTTTCCCTCTCTGAAGTTGGAAGAAAATTCAAAATCTGAATTTTCCTAACGTATTTGTTAAAGAGTATGATAGAAAAACTGGTTTTGTCCATGTCGCACGGATCACCGTTTACCGCAAATCCAACCCTATTCACCAACACGTGTATCCTCATCTGCCCACGTCAGGCACCTCACTCTGCCATGTGTCAGATTCAATACAGAGATATATGCTGCTTCCATTTATCGAGTAGATATGTGCGGACGTATAAATGGCCATGAACGTGTTGTCTCGACTAGTCACTTCCTCAAGAGTCTTATCATCAAACGTTACGCTTTCGTTTTCTCAATTTCCCAACAAAACCCAAAAGCTTCTACCTCCAAAGAGAGAAAGAAATAGGATATTATCTCCGCTTGTGTGTAAGAGCGATGGCATCTGAAAAACAAAAACAAGGAGAAGTTCAACCTGGCAAAGAACACGTCATGGAATCAAGTCCACAGTTCTCTAGCCCAGACTACCAACCGTCTAACAAACTTCGTGTAATGATTCTCTCTAACCTATAGGTTTTTTTTTTTTAATTCTAAACTGTAGTTTAACACGGGCTTTTATATGTACGTATAATTCATAGTAAAAATAATCGTTGTTGCAATCATGCAAAAATTCACAGACGTTCTACGTGTGATATGCTTGCTAAATACGGAGAGAGAAATGATTTTAATCTCGATTCAAATTTAGGTTTCTAGCTCTTCCATTTAATTTAGCGACATAAATTTGAAGAGCCTAAAGAAATTGAGGGTTTTTGGGTTTTTTGGGTTCTTTGGGTGTATGATTTTGTTATGTCCGTATAGTTAACAAGGTTTGTTTTGCATGATTTAGGTTTTTTATTATTGTTTTTGGTTAATCTTTACAAGTTATGTAACAAATGCATGCAAACTATATATGTATAGGGAAAAGTGGCGCTGATAACAGGCGGAGACTCAGGGATTGGCCGAGCCGTGAGTTACTGTTTTGTACTTGAAGGTGCAACAGTGGCTTTCACTTACGTGAAGGGTCAAGAGGAAAAAGATGCACAAGAGACCTTACAGATGTTGAAGGAGGCAAAACCCTCAGAGGCTAAGGATCCGATCGCGATTCCAACGGATTTAGGATTTGATGAGCACTGCAAGAGGGTCGTTGATGAGGTTGTTAATGAGTTTGGACGCATCGATATCTTGATCAACAACGCAGCTGAGCAGTACGAGAGCAGCTCGATCGAGGAGATCGATGAGCCAAGGCTTGAGCGAGTCTTCCGTACGAATATTTTCTCTTTCTTCTTCCTCACAAGGTAAATTATATCGTATCAGCACGTGTGGGTTTTTGTTATGATGAAGTTACACTTGTTATGACAATTGAATATATTTTTTATATTAATCGCTAGGCATGCGTTGAAGCATATGAAGGAAGGAAGCAGCATAATCAACACAACTTCGGTAAATGCTTACAAAGGAAACGCATCACTTCTTGATTACACCGCTACAAAGGGAGCGATTGTGGCGTTTACTCGAGGTCTTGCACTTCAGCTCGCTGAGAAAGGAATCCGTGTGAATGGTGTAGCTCCTGGTCCTATATGGACACCACTTATCCCAGCCTCGTTTAATGAAGAGAAGATTAAGGGTTTTGGTTCAGAGGTTCCAATGAAACGAGCCGGGCAGCCTATTGAGGTTGCACCTTCCTATGTTTTCTTGGCTTGTAACCATTGTTCCTCCTACTTCACCGGTCAAGTTCTTCATCCCAACGGTAATTTTGCTTTCTTTGAATTTTATGTTTTATGTTACGCGGGTGGTGGAACTTGATTTTTCACTTATTGTCTTCGTGTTTTTTATTTTTGAAGGAGGAGCTGTTGTGAACGCGTAAACAATGAAACACCCTCGACAGTACTGTCATGTCCACACGGCCGTCTAAAGACGTATGCGGTCTCAGCATGGTGTTAAAACTTGTGGCATCGTTGTTGGTTTATATAGGGGTTTCTTTTGTTAATGTAAGTGTTGTTATGGGAAAAACGTACTTTATGTAATCTGGTGGAAGTAGCAACAAAAAAACGTTGAAATAAAAGACTTCCTTAATCCAAGTTATGATTATGGTTTAAATTTTACATAAATATTTAGAGATTTCTAAAGAATATTCTTTTAACAAAAAAAACAACTATCCAATTGTTCCTTCAGTTATATCTGTTTCCAACTATAATCGGGTGTTTCAATATGATTTGAATTGAACTTAAGTTGTATATCCTGGTAACATTTAGAGATTTTTAAAGAATATCATGACAAACGAAGCATAGGCGCATGAATTTCAAAGCGAAAAGGGGAACAAATTAAAAAAATACAATTTTTTTTTTGGGACAAAATCTATAAAAGAATATATATATTTTTTTTTATGTCATTAAAAACTCAAATTGGTAAGAGGAAAGAGAGTCGGCGACCGCAGATGAGATAAACTCCATTTTAAGGGTGAGATGTATCAAACTAGGTTTCCATTTTTCAAAATCGAAATCCCCATGATTGTGAATTCTCTTTTCTTCGAAATCGTCACCGCTGATATATAAATCTTCCCTAACCTGATTTAGCAGTAAACATGGTTAATCGAACAACTCAATTCTTAATTTTAAAAGAAAAATTTTGCTAAAAACCTACCAAAACCCATAAGAGAGTAAGGAATTATATCTATCTAAAATAAAGAATCAAGAATTTAAAGAGAGAAAAGAAACATACAACTTTAAGCGAAATAAAGCTAATCCAAAAGAAATCGAAAAAGCTGAAAGAAAGAAAAGAGAAAGACAAGAGAAAAACCTAAATAAATAAACGAAAAACAAAGATCCAAACTAAAGGCCGGAAAATAAACCGGATATGCCGAAGTTTATTAAGCCGAACTAAGTCAGAAAAACAAAACAAAAAAGAGCTTCGCTCTCTGAAGATCCAGAGAGAGAAGCTCAAGAGGGAGCGAATCAGATAATCTTTCTATAAAAGAATATCTAAACTATTCTAGCTTTCTTATAAAATATATATTTAATATCTATTTTAAATACACAAACGTTCAAAAATCAATTCTAAATAAGATATTAGAAAGATACAATACAAAGATATCTATTAATACAAAATAAGATTAAATAGAAAAGTTTGATATTGTTATAAATATAATGTAATAAAAGCAATAATATTAATATGTGTTTTTAATATATTAAAGGATTGCAAAAAAAAAGAGCAATGTGAATAAGAATTTAACAAAAAATAAATAAACTAAAGTATTCTAGTAAAAAATATTTATTTACGCAATTTTAAACAAATATAATATATTAACTAACATTTTTTAAAAAGAATACAAAAATACATTGCAGTGACTTATTTCTATAATAATGTAAACATATTCATTATTATTATCAAGCAAATTTATAGAATAAGGCATACCTTTAAAAGTAGGATATAGATAATATTATAATTTTGTTTCTCCCGATTCCATCAGATATAGATCTGATTCTAAAGATAAAACCTATGGGATCTCAGATTGACTACTGGTGTTGGAAACTCAATAAGTGTGGAGATTTTTCAGTCAAGTCTGCGTACTAGTTAGCTCATACTTCAAATAAGATCAAAGTTAAAGTTTGGGATCTGTTAACGGTTTCAAAAATAAAATTCTTTCTTTGGAGGGTGCTGAATGAAGCTATTCCAGTTGTTGAAAATTTATTCAGAAGGGATATGAAAGTGGATTCTCGATGCCATTCATGTGGTTTTGAAGGTGAATCTGCCAACCATGTTTTATGTACATGTTCAATAGCCAGACAGGTATGGGCTCTTTCAGAATTCCCATATCCACAGGGAGGTTTCCATTCAGACTCTATTTATGTGAATTTGCTTTATGTTATGCAAATGGAAAAAAATATCGAGGTTCCGATGATTGTGCGCAGATCTTTCCCTTGGATATTGTGGTTTCTGTGGAAAAACAGAAACAAATCTCTGTTTGAAGGTATAAAGTTCTGTCATCTTGAAACGATTAGAAAAATCAGGGATGAAACAAATTTATGGTTTATAGCTCAGGAGATGGAATCGGTTGAAAGAAACAAGGTTGATCTTGGAGGAAACAGGAATGAGGGAAAGTGGAAACCTCTTCCACGAAACTGGGTAAAATGCAATGTGGGTGTTTCCTGGTCAAAGGAAAGAAAAAATGCAGGTTGTGCTTGGGTTTCAAGAAATCATGAAGGAAAAGTCCTGATTCATAGTAGAAAGTCTTTTAGTGGAGTGAGGAGTTTAGACCAAGCAAGATTTCTGTGTTTAGAATGGGCGATTCAAAGCATTGGCTTTCATAAGATGAATCAGGTGATTTTTGCAGTAGAAGCTTCAAACCTGATTGATTATTTGAATAGGCCAAAAGTGTGGCCTTCTTTTTAAAAAGAACAATTGGTTTTGCTACAGTTTTTGGAATCCATCAAGGATTGGAAAGTAGAACTTGAAATCAGACATAGAAACAGATGTGCTTTTCTCATTTGCTCAAAGTGCAACTTCGATGACTCGTTTTTAATCTTATGTTGCTGCAGGTGAGCCCGCGTGGCTTCATAATATCTTTGAAAGTGAGAAGTGTATGCCTCTGTCTCTCTCTTCTCGCCTTGATTAGTAGTCTCTTTGTTTTGTATAGTAAATAGGTGGATGTTTTATTTTCAGTCTAACTTTTGACCCTGTTTTTTTTTTTTTTTTTTGTAAAATGGGTTTGTAAACGTACTTCAAGCTAGTCAAATATATATCTTCTGTTGAAAAAAAAGAGATAACATTATGATAAGTCATAACATCTTTAAAGTGATACGGTTCTCTTTTTTTAAACAGAAAGTCTTTAAAATAATAAATCTTACCAGACGATTCTAGACAATATTCCAAACATGATAATTGATACAAAGTTAGTTGTTTTCTAGGTATGCATTGCATCTTTTAGTGTATTTGGAGTGGATTATTTTAGAGGCCATGGAGATTCAATGGCGTTTGGGACTTGAGTTGGAGCAAGAAGAAGCACTTAAGGAAAAAAAGGAAAGCATGCTGACCGATACACAAATCCGCTACACCAGCCAATGCCTGGAAGATCTGGCTAGACGAAGGTTTTCCAGTTCGATTCAAACTCGGCGTCCTTCATAAAAGTTATAGCCAAATGAGTTAGATTTCGTGTGGCAGTGGTTTCAAGTTATTCCTATCAGTAATTCATGAGTTATGTCGAGTTTAATCTGCCCCGGACACTCACCTGGGCTTCACCTCCTCGGAGTGAGTCGGGCAGAAGCTTTAAAAATTCACCCCTGGCACTTGTTCCGGCTTCTACTCCCCGGGGTAGACATTTTAACCTCCTTGCTTTGGTTTTTTTTCTGGTTTTGACTTTGGTCAACATCCGAGATTTGACCATTAACCAGCTCTAATCCCTTGACTATATAAAGCAAATTTTATCCTTTTAATCTGGTATCTTTTGTTTGTTAAATTAATCGTATCTTTTATGCTTTAAACTCTCTTTCTCTTGTTCTTGAGCTATTTTCCAGATTTTAAGTACTTGTAAGCACAATTTAGGTTTTGAATGAAAGTTTGCATTTCCTGTTATTGATTATCCATTTGTTGTTATTGATCATAATTTCTTATCTTTTTTCTCAAGCTTTTGCCATAATCACCATGTGTAGTGAGTAGTTAATTTCTGGTTCTGTAAACATATTCCAAGCTAGTCAAATATTTATCTTCTATTAAAAAAAAAGATAACATTATGATAAGTTATAACATCTTTAAAATGATACGGTTCTCTTATTTTAAACAGAAAGCGTTTAAAATAATAAATCTTACGAGACGATTCTGGACAATATTCAAAACATGATAATTGATACAAAGTTAGTTGTTTTTTAGGTATGCATTGCATGTTTTAGTATATTTGGAGTGGGTTATTTTGGAGGCCATGGAGATTCAATGGCGTTTGGGACTTGAGTTGGAGCAAGAAGAAGTACTTAAGGAAAGAAAGGAAAGCATGCTGACCGATACACAAATCCACTACACCAGCCAATTCCTGGAAGATCTGGCTGGACGAAGGCTTTCCAATTCGATTCAACCTCGGCGTCCTTCATAAGAGTTATAGCCAAATGAGTTAGCTTTCGTGTGGCAATGGTTTCAAGTTATTCCCGTCAGCAATCCATGAGTTATGTTGAGTTTAGTCTGCCCCGGACACTCACCTGGGCTTCACCTCCTCAGAGTGAGTCGGGCAGAAGCTTTTAAAATTCACACCTGACACTTGTTCCGGCTTCTACTCCCCGGGGTAGACATTTTAACCTCCTTGCTTTGGTTTTTCTCTGGTTTTAACTTTGGTCAACATCCGAGATTTGACTATTGACCAGCTCTAATCCCTTGACTATATAAAGCAAATTTTATCCTTTTAATCTGGTATCTTTTGTTTGTTAAATTAATCTTATCTTTTATGCTTTAAGCTCTCTCTCTCTCTTGTTCTTGAGCTATTTTCCAGATTTTAAGTAACTTGTAAGCACAATTTAGGTTTTGAATGAAAGTTTGCATTTCCTGTTATTGATTATCCATTTGTTGTTATTGATCATAATTTCTTATCTTTTTTCTCAAGCTTTTGCCATAATCACCATGTGTAGTGAGTAGTTAATTTATGGGTTTGTAAATGGAACAGACCTAAGATGTGTGTTAGACACTTTATTTGCAAGGGTGAGAATGCAATGAGGTTATCAAACTCAAATGCAAGACAGGTTGTAGTACAGCATGCAAGAGAGAGTCAATCCATACCTAGGATGATAGAAAATGCAAAGAGAATACAAGGACTAATGCAAATCTAAGCGAAACAAGATAAGTTATGAGAAAATCCCTAAAAACTAGATGCAGCAACTAAATGGAATGCAACCTATTTTATAATTACTAGGAATGATCAAACTACCACGAGGAATAAACAGAATAATTAAAGGACAAAGCTTCGAACTACTAAAATTCGACTAGTGGATCGACCATGAGATCGACCACTAGATCGAGCAATAACAATCGATCTCGTCTAAAAATGCAAGAACAGTAAAACTAACGACCAGGATGCTATAAAAGATCAAGCGAAAGACGAGAGAAGATGGAAAGATGCTAAAAGAAAGGGCCTAGGGTTGAGA